TCTCTCTCTCTCTCTCTCTCTCTCTCTCTCTCTCTCTCTCTCTCTCTCTCTCTCTCTCTCTGTGTGTGTGTGTGTGTGTGTGTGTGTGTGTCTAGGAACTAGAGCTGTGCTACAGGAGCAGCAAGGAATTCCAGCTCTTCTCTGAGATCTACGTTGGACACATGCGTTCAGAGATTAAGCTGCAAATCAAAGACAAGAAGCACATGCAACTCATATGGGAGGCCTTGCTGAAACCAGGTAAAATCAGTGTATGGTCAGAGACTGTACAGGTTGAATAAAAACAATGGTTAGGGAGAGATGTACTTTCATTATTTCTTGGTGCCACAAGATAGCAAGACCAGTTATATGATTTGGGGAGATCATAACAGCTGGTTTAAGCATAGTTTACACTGTGACACTGTAACAGTCAGCTCTTCCTAGTTGTGACAAATATATGAGAAAAAAACACAATTTTAAAATAAGAAAGCTTGTTCTGATTCAAGGTCTTAGAACCAAGTTTCAGTCCTTGTCAGCTGCCTTCATCTCTTTGAGCCTATATGAAACGTGATATCATGGAAGTGGGAGCTTCCATGTGAGAGAGAAGGCTGATGGTGTGCTATACCAAAGAAGATAGAGGGGGCCAGGCAGTGGTGGCGCATGCCTTTAATCCCAGCACTTGGGAGGCAAAGGCAGGCAGATTTCTGAGTTCAAAGCCAGCCTGGTCTACAGAGTGAGTTCCAGGACTGCTAGGGCTACACAGAGAAACCCTGTCTCAAAAAAAAAAAAAAACAGAACAAAACAAAAACAAAAACAAGAAGATAGAGGGTAAGGGATAGTGAGTGGGAGTTGGGAGAAGAGAAGAAAGTGGAGTTGAGAAGAGAAGGAGAAGAGAAAGTCCATGCCCTGCATTCTCTTGGCCCGCAGCTGAAGGCAAGAATGGAAGAGATGTGCTCTGGTTGCATCCTGCCGGGATGAGAGTTCTTGGTAGCAGCAGCTTCTTGGCTTGCCTGTCTGGGTTGGTGGTCTTCATGGCTGGAAGTGCAGAGAATTCTTCTGCGAGAGATTGGGCAGCAGGTCTGTAGATGAAAACCTGCTCCACTGTTCCCCATGGCAGATCCCAAAGAAGAGAAATAGTCCATGGTCTTAAGATGTTCATTGTCATGGCAGAAAGTAGATGAAAACTATACCCCAGTTTCCTCAGAGCAGGTCTGAGGTTAAATACCTTTTGCAAGGAGAAGGATCTAGGAAGGAATGTTTGATTGGTTATGCCCCTCTGCCCTTTAGGCATCTCATTAATATGGATATTTGTCTTGAGTCTCTATGGCCTGTAGTCCCGGCCTCTACCTGTAGAGGCCTGGGGGCATTGTCCTACATAACTAAAAGGCACAGATCTATGGAGATCTGTGGCCTCATGTCTAGAGCCTGGAGTCTGAGAGCATGGTGAAATTCATGCCATTCTTTTGGGTCACCTATGTCCCATCTGGGGCCCCTCAGGGTCACCTGGGGTCTCTAGCAGTTTCCAGCCAGTGCTCAACCAGAAACCAGATTGTCTTTCACAGTCCTACAGTGTATGGCTTAATTCATAGACTCACAGCCCTCAGAACAGTCACCTTTGACTACTGCTGCAGGACCAGTCCTTCAACACGTGATCATTTTCAGGGAACAGATCATACGCAAAGCACCACATACCCTAAGCCACCTTTTTTCAATCCTATATTCTCTTTCTGCTCCCACTGCCCTGGAAATGACAGATTGAGGTGCACAAAGCTCTGCCTCCAGTTCACATAACAGCTCAGCTATAAAGTGAAGGGATTTTGCCAACATGAGGTACTTGGTGTTAAAACCATATATATATATTATGTATTGATAAATTATTTTAACAACTTTATGCACACATATAATGCATTTTGTCACTCCACCTTAAAATCAAAAACGTAAAGAAAACAAAGTCTTCTCTTCTCTCCCTCCTACTCCTGCCAGCTCTGCTTCTTTTCTATAAATCTCTTTGCCAAATTCAAAAGGTTTGTCTCCCAGAGTTTAACTTGGACCATCTGTGTGACCAAGAGTTTTGTACTATGCTGAAGAACATAATGATCACACCTACAGGTATACAGATGAAATATTTACCTCTCCAAATCGAATAATTTATTACTAGCAAATAGTTTAATGGCAAGTGTTCTGTCCCTGCAAGCTGCTTCCCATGGATAACTGATTGATGGACAGGCCCAACTAGTCAGGGTCCAAAGACAGGAGCTGTGGGTGTTATGAGTTCATGATGGCCATGGAAATACCCTGCTTATAAGACAGCACTTCACAAGCCTTCTCCATACAGTATGTTGCTGTATTCTCTCTAATTCTCCTTCCACCATGTTACTTAAGTCTTAATGGGGTGATATAAATGACTTACTTACATGGGTGAGTACTCACCCATACATTTTTCTCAGACTCCTGTACAGGCATAAGTGTGTGTAGTTACCTCCATTCACACAAAAGACAGACTTTTCTGATGGAGGCTGAAAGTAGCTTTTGTCTGTGGTATAAATACAGATATTTAGAACAGCATTAGTATGATGTCCAATTAGCTAAGCAGCAATAGTAGCTTCTCTCAAGAGTCTAAGATTTCTACAAACTTGGGTTGGTTTATTTGCTTTACAAGATTTATACTGCTAGGGATGGAGTCTATCTGATGGAGTAGGAATCAAGGAGACACTGACTGCTCCCATCATGTTTGTGCCACTGTGCAGCAGAGGGACCACCTTGGCAGGTTGGTTTATGATCATAGAGAACCCAGTTGGGTCAGCCTGTTGTTGAAGCCTTTGCTTCCTCAGTGGCCTGAGGGCTTAGCAACAAGAAGAAAGCTTCCAACTTATCTCCAGCTTGAATTCTCTATACCACATGTCTAAGAGGTGTGGTGTAGACAACAAAAAATGCCTTATCTATTAGTTCTTCCAGAAAACTAATCAGAATGGCATAAGCCTGTACTATCACTGGGGCCTCCAGGACTTCCCTGCTGACAAACTCCTAAGGAGGTATCCCACATTTGGAACTGGGTTTTTGTTTCAAAACTCATTATTTTAAGGATCTACATTTCAAGCCTTTTATGGTGATTTTTTTTTATATTTACCTAATACTAGGTTCCTAGTCTACCTAAATTTTACCAATCTCCTACTGTCCTTTTTCAGTCCATAAGGCCTAGTCCCATTTCTAGATTTCTGATTCCAGGGGGTTTAGAAGCTACACGTGAGAAATCTGGCATTTCCTTCTAGACCTGGATCATCTTGCTTGATATCTTTCCTAGTATATTCACTTACATTTTGTAATGACATTTTCTTCACATCTCAGTCAAACCCCATGGGATGTGTGTGCCACACATCTGTTTTCTAATCCTCTGTTGATGGACATCTAGACTGATTGCATTTCCTAGCTGTTGAGAACAGAAATTCAATGAGCATAGGTGTGCAAATGTCTCCATTGTAGAATAGAAATTTTGTTGTGTAGTGCCCAGGAAGTATTAGAGAACCTCAAAAAACAGACAGGAGCCAATCCCATGCAAATCACAACAGGGCCTTTATTCGAGCTGTCTCAGGACCCTCCACCCACTGCCTACTGGTGGAGAGCAGGTCTGAATATTTATAGGGGTAGTCTTTATAGAAAGCTACAGGCCAGGGGTGAGTGTTTCTAGCCTGGCAAGCATCTAATTGGAAAGCTACTATGGACATTAGCATAATTGGCTGCTACTGAGAGTCTAACTATAAATTTAACTTTTTTTTCCATCTGCATTGGTGGCTGTCATCAGGAGGCAGGCTTGTTGGGAATTAACCTGGAAATGCTGGATTTGTTGAGGGAGATTAACCTGGAGACCCTGGTATTATTGGAGATACACTAGAAACTGGAGCTAGACTCAGGTTTTGTTGGGGGGTAACTTGGAAACTAATGCTAGATACTAGCCTGTTCGTTTACCTAAGTTCAAGTTCACTAAAATGGAGTCTGAACATAAAAGGTTTGGTCTCTCAGTTGGATATATTACCAGAAGTGCAAGGCTAAGTTCTAGTTCTAGCTCTAGTTCTAGTTCTAGTTCTAGTTCTAGCTCTAGCTCTAGCTCTAGCTCTAGCTCTAGCTCTAGCTCTAGCTCTAGCTCTAGCTCTAGCTCTAGCTCTAGCTCTAGCTCTAGTTCTAGTTCTAGTTCTAGTTTTGGTTTTCAAGAAGCCTCCAGATTTATCTCCACAGTGGCTGCTCTAGTTTGGAATACCTCTGGCAGTGCTTAAGTTTTCCTTTTCCCACATCCACTCCAGCATTAGTTATCATTTGTTTCCTTGATACTGGATATTCTCAAGGGATGAGAATGAATCATAAGTAATTTTAACCTGTGCCTGTATTATAGCTAACTGTTCCCTAGCCCTGTGTTTCCTCCTGTGATAATTCTATCACTGCTCACTCCTATGATCCCATCTTATAACTAAGTTATTTTCTTGTTGTTTAGGTTTCTGAATTCCATGTATATTCTAGTTACTAATCCTTTGTCAGATGTTATCTGGGAAATGGTTTCTTCCATTCTCACCTGTGTCTTCATTCAGTTAAGTTCTATTTGTTATACAGAATTCTTTCAGAGACCTGGAATACAATTTGTCAATTACTATAATGGTTTTCCTTCCTGTGCCGCTAGAGTCTCATTCCAGCAATCCTAATTTATGCTACTATGTTGAAAGCTACCCCCTACTTATTGCTCTACCAGTTTCAGGAGTTCAGTCTTATTTTTTATTGGCTATTTTATTTACATTTCAGACGTTATCCCCTTTCCCCATTTCCCCCATGCCCCAGAAACCCCTTATCCTATCCCCCCTCCTCCTGCTTCTATGAGGATGTAGCCCCACTCACCTACCCACTCCCACCTACCCACCCTCAAATTCCCCAACACTGGGGCATCCAGCCTTCACAGTACCAAGGCCATCCTCTCCTACATATACACCTGGAGCCATGGGTCCCTCCCTATGTGCTCCCAGGCTGGTGGTTTAGACCCTGAGAGGTCTGGTTGGTGGGTATTGTCACTCTCCCCATGGGGCCTCAAACCCTTTCAGCTCCTTCAGTATTCTCTCTAACTCCTCCATTGGGAACCCCATGATCAGTTCAATGGTTATCTGTGAGCATCTGCCTCTGTATATGTCAGGCTCTGGCAGACCTCTAAGGAGACTCTATATCAGGCTCCTGTCTGCATGCACTTCCTGGCATCCACATCAGCATCTGCCTTTGGTGGTGACTGC